ATGTATCATTCATAATGTCCAACATCCAGTAAAAAAACCTCCCAGTGCAGGAAACAGGAGAAAGTGAGTCACATTCATGAACAAACCGTTGATAGAGCAGCTTGGATGGCTGGTGGAGTTGTGGGCGCTGTGTCAGCAGGGTTCTGCAGAGGCCCTGGAGATGGAGATGAGAGGGCGTTGACTAGGGCCATCACTCATGTAGGGATGGAGCCCCAGGACAGCTGGTGACAGCTGATGATGTAATTGAGTCTGGGTCTGAAGGCCTGAGGACTGTGGGGGTGGGGCACGGAAGTACGTCCCAGGGTTTGAAGGCCTGAGAACTGGGAGAAGTTGGGCACCCTGTCCAGGAGTGGGAGCACAGCTGCCCCCCTCCACCTTTCTCTTCCATGAGGGTCCCAGTGCGGATGGTGCTGCACAAGTTGGTGATGGTGGACCTGTGCCTAGTCCACGGTTCAAATGCCAGGCTCTTGTGAAGACACTGCCATGGACATGTGCAAAAATGGCGTTTCTCACTCTCTGGGCATCCCGTAGCTCAGCACTGGTAACCATCACGGTCGGTGGCTCAGAGGAACTCGCCTGCCGCATGAATGAGCAGATGGGCACCTTGGCGGGGAGCGAGGGGTTGCCAGGAGGGGTCGAATGGGAATTGTAGAACTGAAAAGCAGAGTATCTGAAATGAGCAGCCACTGGATTAGGTCCATGGAAGGCAGAAGACGGCAGAGGAAAGAGGTTGGAACTTGAAGGTAGTCTAGGGGCAGTTAGCACTTGGGAGCAAAGGAGGTTAGGTGTCTGGGGCAGGGCGGGCAGGGCGTGGGTTTGGATCCCAGAAGAGAAAGAAAGAGGGAAGGAGGCAGGAGAAACATGGGGAAGGCCCTGTACTTCCTGGATTCCAAAACCTCCGTGACAGACAGTGCCACAAAATGTTGCTGAGAGAAATTACACAAGACTTAAATAAATGAAGGCATAGAGGAGGTTTAGGGATGGGAAGATGATATTAAAATGTCAGTTCTCCCCAAATTCAACTGGAGTCATTGCAAGTCTCTATCAGGCTCTCAGCATACTGGTTTTTTAATTAACAAGATGATCCTACAGTTTCCATGGAAAAGCAAAGCCATCTTAGGACAGCCGTAAGTCTCATAGGAGAACAAAGTTAGAAGATGTGCAGCGCCTGGTTTCAAGACTTTCTGTAAAACCAGTGAATACACAGAGGTGTGTGGAGTGAAGGGCGAGAATCACGGTGCGGAAGGAGACGCACACGTGCTCGGTCCCCTTAATGTATCAGATGCCATTGAATTAAAGATGAGGCCTGTCGAGTCACCACTAGGAAAATGAGTTGCTGAGCTGGAGACTGGGGAGGAAATCATAGAACATGCCTGACCGGTATCCGGAACATGTAAAGAACTCCTAGAATTCAATAAGACAAAAACAATTGAAATGGACAGAAATCCTGAACAATAAGTACATGGAAGAAAACCACGGGAGCCTTAGTTAGTAGGAAAATGCAAAATGAAACCACAGTAAAGTTTGGCTACACACCTCAGGAGTGCCTGACAGTCCACAGGCTGGCAGCCAGGGCCCAGGAGGAAAGAAGCTGCCCACACTGGCACTGGCTGCTGGCTGGAGATGCTCAGCCACTTCGGGGGGACATGGGCAGCTGCTCAAAGTTCAGCCTACGCATCCCCTTGACGCAGCCTGGCTGGATGGACAGAACCCGGGGAGGGTGAGGGTGAAACCCAGTGGGTTTCAAGGAAGTGAGAACCCAGGCCCTCAGCTCACTTCCTGGACGCTAACGCTCCTGTGGCTGCTTATGTTCACAAAAACCCAAACTTGGAGGCATCCCAGATGTCAGTCGGGAAGAAGAATGGATGACTAATTATAACTCACACGATGGATTAGCACTCAGCAGTAAATTGCCGCGGGCTGCTGCCGGAGCCCCCACGTGCCTGGGCGGAATGGGGGAGGGCAGCGGGAGCAGGACAGGCTGGGGGGGCCAACACCCATCCCTGGTAGGGGGCAGCAGGGTGTGACAGGGAAGGAGAGGAACTCTTAGGGAGAAGGGCTGGAATGTTCTCCAGTGGGGAACAGGTGTGTCACTCACACAGGTGGATCCATTTGTCAAAACTGCAGCTATGGGCGAGTTTTGATCGTTGCTGACCTTACGGAACTGTCCTGAGAGAGCCACTCACCGTGCTGCTCTGGGAGTGTAGGCTATGCCCAGAGGTGTGGCGTCCACTCTGATTTAATGGTGGGGCCAGGGCCTGTTGCCCCCCTAACCCCCAGCACCCATCCAGGAAGCTTCTGGCCGCCCTGGCCCTAACAGCCTTCCTCTGCTTCAGACAGCACAGCTCTGTGGGCTCAAGCAGGTCTTGTGTCTCCCTGTCCCCTCAGGCCTGCTTTCAGAGCAGGAGGTGGACATGAGCGCCCAGGCAACGGAGGGAGGCACTGACAGGGTGTCATCTCCACCCGCTCCTGGCCTTGCTGGCTCCCGGTTCCCTGCTGGTCCCACTGTGTGATGAAGGGCTCATTTGGGGAGTGAAGAGGTGACATCCTAAGCTGTATTTGATTCGTGGTGGCCGTTGCACAGAAGTCTTTGTTGAAGATTCTGAGCTGGGGACAGTCTTGGACTCAGTGTGTTCCCAGGGCATTGACTGTTTGCCATTCCACACTGGGCAACCTCGGGGGCCCCTTTTCCAGCCCAACTTGAAGCCATTTTTATCCATTTCACTGGCTCTTAGAATATTCAGCAGCCAGCTCCCCTCCCGCTCCCCCGCTTATTTCTACCCAGCCAGCTCCCCTCCCCTTCCTTCCACTCAGCCACCTGAGTGGAGCTGCTGTCTGGCCCCAGACGTGCAGAGACCTCATCTGCCTTTGAGTTGTCAGCTCAGCAGCCAGGAAGCTTCCCTGTCTCACCTGGTTCCACGCCATCAGAATTCCTGACAGGCTTTGCCACCAACCTTGCTCTGCTGCAAGACAGAAATTCGGGGGGGGGGCTGACACCCCAAAGTCACTTGGCTAAAACCCCATATCTGCGGACAGAGCATCTGGGGAGGTTTCCCTGGGGAGTCAGGGGAGGTGATGGTTTCAAGACATTTGTGAGCCCCACCTGGGGATGGACTTGTGATGCAGGTAAGAAGATCCAGGAGCTCACAAACACCCTGCCTACCTTTACATCTATTCCTGGTGTCTGTTGCCAGGGTGTGGGCTAGCTCTCCTGTGCCCCTAACGTCTAGACAGGTTTTATTTTTTTTGAGATGGTGTCTTACTCTGTCATCCAGGCTGGAGTACAGTGGTGTCATCACAGCTCACAGAAACTTTAAACTTCAGTCCCCCAGGTCTCTGGGACTACAGACACGCCATGCCTGGCTAACTTTTAAATCTTTTGTAGAGATAGGGTCTTGCTATGTTGCCGAGGCTGGAACTCCTGGCCTCAAATGATCCTCCTACCTCTGCCTCTCAAAGTACTGGGGTCACAGGTGTGGGCTACCGTACCTGCCCCGACAGACTTCATACAGCAGAGGATGGGCAGGAAGCGGGGAGAAGGTGAGCATGGCCGAGGCCCTGTCCTGTCTAACTGGTTACAGATCTTCAGTGAGCTTGCTACCCCCAAGAGTTTTGTAAAGATAAAAATCAAATTCCTTTCAAGTGCTGGATACGGGGCTGGCTGGGTGGGCAGCTCCCTGGGTGGCCCCTATAGGGTTCTGGCAGCTCAGCCATTTCACAGTGTCACCTGTCCTCTCCCAGTCTGGTCCTCTGGCCAACTGTCAACACCCTCATACCTATGGATGAGCTTCTGCACCCAAGCTCATCTGTCTGTGGGGCCTCATCAGATGGGGAATTGGGCTGACCCACTGGCCACTGCTAGAGGCAGTCCACAGCTGGGTGCCAAGGGCCTTGGGGAGCCCCCCTCTTAGTGCACACATCTTCCTTGGATACAACAAATTCACCTCCCTCTCTCAAGCACACGACCCTGCCCCATCCTGGCCTGAGAAAGTGAGAGGTGATAGTCAAAGTGAGGTCGGGGGCAGGGCTCACTGGCCAGAGCCTGTTCCCAGGTGCTGCAGGGCTTGGCTGTCCATCTGTGTCCCCTGCCTACTGGCCACTGGCAGGGTGGGGTGTGGTGGGCCACTCTAGGCGTTTCCATGTCTTCTGGAAGTGAGCTTTGCCAGGCCCTGCTTTCTGCCCAGCTGTGAGATGTGCTCTTGCACAGAGGGAGGGCACACTGAGGATGTGCCCCGTGGCAGAGCCAGAGTCTTGCCCTGAGCCTCCAAGCCTAGACCCCACCAGGGGCCTGTGTAAGCTCTGCTGAGCACTGGCCCGTGTCAGATGTGGAGCGGAAGGCATGAAGTTGATTTTGTCCAGGGAGGGGGTCAGCTCACCAAGTGCCACTTTGAGACTCACTGGATCGAAGGCAGAGGAACTGTGCTGAGAGGCAGCCAGGAAAGACCTGGAGCAGATTGAGGGGCGTCCTGGAGGCTTCCTGGAGCAGGCATCCCGTGAACTGAGCCCTGCAGGCAGAGGGCAGCCACTGGATTAGTATCAAGCCGCAGTGATGAGCCGAAATGAAGCTTTTCTGTATTGCCAATTAGGCGGTGATTTCCCTGGTGCTGGTTTGGAAAGGTCCATCTCAAACGCCACATGCCTTCCTGTGTGCCCAAGACCATCACACCTCAGCTACGAGGACAGGGAGACCCTGGGCTGGGCCTGGGGAGAGGGGGTTCTGGCCTGGAGGCAGGAGCCAGGCACCTCATAGACTGGCAGTGGGAAGATCGTGGAGAAGGGCAGGCCCCCACTCCTGGGCATCCAGCCTGACCCCACTTGGACCAAAGGGCTGGAGACGTCGGGTTCTTCCGTGGTGGGTTCATCAGAAACCTGTCACGTAGGCAGCGGGCAAATAAGACGATGCTCCCCGAGCAGGAGGGCGGGTACCCGCCTGTTTGGTAGACAGAGGCCCTAGTGGGCCTGCCATGCGCCTTCCCTCTGACCGGCCTCCTCCTGTCCAGTGAGCATGACCTGGGGGAGGACATCTACGACTGCGTCCCGTGCGAGGATGGAGGGGACGACATCTACGAGGACATCATCAAGGTGGAGGTACAGCAGCCCATGGTAAGCCCCCGCCCCCCGCCCCCCGTGCCACCTTGCTCCACGGCACCTGTCCCTCACCCCCGTGCACCACCGCTGGGGGCTGCTCTGAGTGCTGTCCGGAGGGTCGGGTGTCCTGGAAACACCCCCACTGCACCCCACACCACCCTGGCTCCCATGTGGAGATGTCCTGAGGTGCCCTGGGTGTGATGTGGTCGCAGAGATTCTGTGACTGTGCTGCCGAGAGGCTCTGGAGGGTTGTGAATATGTTAGCCCTTCCTGCCCAGGGAACCACGGGTGGACCCAGCACTTGGTGTAACCCCCACAGAGTGTATGGAGGCTGGCAGGTGGATCGGCCGGCTGTGAGTCTTCTCCATAGTGAGGGTGCGTCTCTCCCTGGATCGCTGCCCGATAATCCCTGGGGCTGTGTGGCAGGCAGGGTGTAGAGGGCTGGGGTGGGGCCATGGGGACCTGGGAGCAGGCAGTGGCTTCTTCAGACCCCCAAGCTCCTGAGTGGCATGTGTGAGGCCATTTCCTTTCTTTGAAGAAATGGGAAGTTTCTTGAAAAGCACATGTCAGGGTCTCCCTTCTGTGTGAAAAAAGTCCCCAAAGGTCCTGTCAAAGAGGCCTGTCCCCTCTGCTGGTGCCCTGCTGCTTCCACACTGCCCTGGGAGAGACAGGAGGTGTGAGCAGTGGGCCCCATGGTACCGACTTGCTCCTGAGAACAGGTGTCTCGGTCAGCCTTAAGGGTCTGAGGTGGGTTTCCTCACCCACTGTCACCAGGGGCCTTGCTCCAGAGAGGATGGGCTTGTGGGGAGCCTGCCATTCCTGGCAGAGTGGGCTGTGCTCCTGAGCCTTCTGGAAAGTCTGTTAGCTAGGCAGGGCTCTGAGTGGGGCCATGTCACTTCCTGAGTCTCTCAAGTGCACTTGTACATGTGCATGGTGCCCGTGAGGGCTTCTTGGAGGGTCCCCACCCTCAGGCTGTGAGCGCTCTGTGGAGATCCCACCTGTGCCTGGCCAGAGAGCATAGGATGGGCACTTGCAGGCCCTGCTACCGTCCCTGGTTCCGGAGCAGGTGGGAGAGGACCTGGCTGTTTGCAGACCTGCCAGGGATGGAGGGAGCAGCACTCCTGAATCCTGGGAATGGGCTGGCATCCTGCACACCCCACCTGGCAGAGTCCTCATGGCCAGCAGGTGCTGGAGCTCTGGAGCTGGCCAGTCAGACGGGGAGGGGAGGTCTCCAGCTCTCTGCCACTATCCTTGTGGATAAAACAACTGGTTTCCTTTACTCCCCTGTCATGTCTGGAACCATCTGAATGGTCTCTGAGGGGGGTGGTACGATGATGACTTCTCCAGAGGAAGATAAAGCTGAGGGCGGCGTTGCCACCTCCAGAGCCCAGACAGGGAGGGGCACTAGGACGGCTGTGATGCAACTGTGGGGGCTGCTGGCTAATGGTGGGTGGGCATCTTTGACATCCCCAGTGCAGTGGGGAGGACAGCCGCCCCTCTAACTGGTGCTGTGTCCTCTCTCTCCTCCACGCCTTCAGATCAGGTACATGCAGGTAAGTGGCCTGGAAAGGGGGCCAGGGCAGGTCTGCAGCAGCTCCACGCCCTCCACCTCTTGCGGGGGGTGTCTCGGACCTCTTTGAGGAAACTTGGGACCCTGTTTCTAGAGAGACACCGTCGGGCATACATGGTTTGGAGGATCATGTACCCCAACACCTCCAGAGGCCACTTACTGGGCAGGGCCTGGCGGACTCAGAGGGGACCCTGGGGCTCTCGTTGTAGGACGGTGACAGTCTTTAGGGCCGACATGAGCGCAGTGACAGGTTCCCAGGCAGAGATGGCTCACTCAGTGTAAAAGAGCCTAAGGAAACTGCCAGAACAGCTGCCACTGCCCCAGCAAGGTCCCACCTGCTGGCTCCCCTGCTCAGTGGCCAGGTGGTCTCTCAGTCAGGCCTGCCCTCCCCATGTCCTCCCTGAAGTGGGGATAGGCTGAGGTGTGACCTTGGTGATCCTGTCATCTGGTGTGCTGGTCGGAGGCCAGTGGACCCTTAGGGGGACAGTCCGGCCTGCAGGGCGGTTGGCACTGGGACACTGCATGGTGCTGGTGCAATTCATGGGGTGGAGCTGGAGCTGGAGGTGCCCAGGGAGGACTGGGGAGTGGCCTCTGTGGCCCTCACCCCAGTGTGGTGAAGAGTTGGGACTCAGCTCAGAGCAGCAGGAGCCTGGGGTTTTAGAAAACTCCAGGCCTTCCTTGGCACTGTCCCCATGTCACGTCTCTTCCCTGTGCCTCAGTTTCCTCATCTGCAAGATGGATGGGAAGGCCCAGGGTCTCCAGTCTCCCTTCTGGCCTCACCATTCTGTCACCAGTGATCCTGTGGCCACACCTACCAGGCGTCTTCTTGTCATGTGGGGTGGGTGGCTGGGCCTTGAGATGCTGGTGGCCAGGCCCACAGAATCCTGCACAAGTCTCCTGTCCCCCCTCCAGAAGATGGGCATGACTGAGGATGACAAGAGGAACTGCTGCTTGTTGGAGATCCAGGAGACCGAGGCCAAGTACTACCGGACCCTGGAGGACATTGAGAAGGTGAGCATGGGCCTTGGTGTTCCGGGGCATGGCAGTAAGGTGGGCACTTGGGCAGCTGTGATCGGGGTATGGCAGTGAGGCGGGCACTGGGACAGCTGTGACGGGGGTGTGGCTGTGAGGTGAGAACTTGGGCAGCTGTGATGGGAGCCCAGTGGTCTTCTCAGCTCTGCCACCAGGCACCTTATGCACCTCGAGGCTGCGGTCCTGGTGGCTATAGCTGAGTCTGTCTGTGCTGCCCACTGAGGGCTGCTCGGGACTCTTTGCTCAGCCTCTACTGTGACTTTGGATGGGCAGCCCACCCCAGGCAACTGGGAGGGTCCTATGTGGAGTGTGGTCAGGCCTGATGACCTGAGCTACAGGCTTGGGCTCCTGGAAGGGCTGTTCTGCCGTCTTGCCTCTGAAGTCCTCTCTCCCCTCCTTCTGCTCAGTTCCTGGGGGCATGGATGGTCCTCACCTGCCCACCCACTCTGACCCCTGTCCCTTAGGAGAACCAGCTCCCGGGATTTCCCCTGTCTTTTGTGTGTTCTCATAGACATCTGCCAGTGTTTATTGGAGCAAAAATAAATAAATAATCTTTTTCTAGATAGAATCTTATTAGCCGTGGAGTCTAGGGTGGCTGAGGTATAGACCTCAAGTGAGTCCCTTACTGTCTAGGGCAGAGTGGTGCCTCCTGCCAGATCTGGGATGACCCCCATGTGCCAGGCCTGCCTCCTGCCCCACCAGCCTTGGGTGTGTGTCCTTCAGCCCCTGCCCTGCAGCAGGGGAGACAGACACCACTGGACACCCTGGCCCAGAGCCCATTGTCCCCCTCGATGCCCTGCCCATCCTCTCCTGGCAGAGGCTCTTAGTTAGCTCTTGCTGGGAGGCTGCATGCCTATCTGAGGCGGAGCAGGGAGTGAGCTCAGGAAGGACCCCTGTGGACCCCCCAGCCACAGAAGGTGGGCATTACAGGCCCCTATCACAGATGGGAAACAGTCCCAGAGAGACCAGAGCCAGCCCCTCCTCAGCATGTCAGACTGTGTGGCCGTGCACAGCGGCCAGCAATGCACCTTCCTCTGGACAGTGCTGTCTGCTCCCTGGGATGGCCAAGGAGCTGTCCAGCTGGCTGCTGCCAGCCTGGCCCCTGGGGTGGGGCCTGGGAAAGGAGAGGGTGGCACAGCCCAGACTGTTGGGGCAGTTGTCAGCAATGTCACCGCCCTCCATCCCATTTCCAATCTCATCTAAGCCTGGGGCTGGAGGACGTGGCTACTTCCGGGGTGGGAGTGTCCCTTCTGACGATGGTTCTGGGGTTGTGTAGGAGCTCAGCTTGGGCATTTATGTGCTGGTGGGAATTTAGGCCCTGTCCATCTAGAAGGGTGCCCTTGGATGATGGCCCTTTTCTCCCCACAAATGAGAACACCAGTGTCCACCTCAGGCTGCCATGGGGCTGGAGCCCAGCTAGAGTGGCCTCTGGGGCCCAGCTACCATCTTGGCTGAGGACGTGGGGACAGTTGTCTGGGCACCATCCCACCCCTCAAGTATCCCCCCACAGTGCTCACCACCACAGAACTGATCCAGGCCTGGCCCAAATGGCTACTGTGTGTCTGGCTTGTGTGGCTGCCCCAGGGCCCCTCCCATGGGTGGCTGTGGCCTTGATGAGGGTGGACAGCCTCAGCAGAGGTGGCAGTGGAGGGCTTTTCTCTTTCAGAACTACATGAGCCCCCTGCGGCTGGTGCTGAGCCCGGCAGACATGGCGGCTGTCTTCATCAACCTGGAGGTGAGTGAGGTTCTATGGCCCAGATGTGGCAGCCCGGGGTCCTCACTGGGCACTGGCCCCACGCTTGTCACATATGACAGCCAGTGCCTCTGCACTGTAGAACCTTCTGGCCAGTCACACCTGGGGTTAGGGATGCAGGTACGGGGATGCCCCTCTTGCCTCGGTGGGCCTGGTGGTGCGCTGACAGCTCTTATCTGTCCCAGGATCTGATCAGGGTGCACCACAGCTTCTTGAGGGCCATTGATGTGTCCATGATGGCAGGGGGCAGTGCTTTGGCCAAGGTCTTCCTTGATTTCAAGGAAAGGTGAGTGGCTGGTGGCCTCTGGTTGGTGGCCTTCAGGATAATGTCTGGCTTCTTTCGAGACCTGCCCTGGGGACAGCAGGTAGAAGGGAGGTTACACCAGGGGAACCTTGGGCTTGGCGGTGTTCCATGGGAGGTGGCTATCTCTGGCCCCCTCCTCACTTGTAAACTCAGAGAGAGGCCCACCCTCCCCCGCCCATGCCTGCCGGGGGGGCTTCTGGGGTACCAGTAGCAGCAGCCCACCTCTCTTGATGGTTTGAGATCTTGGCTGGCTAACGTTTGTGATGTCATGATGCACCTGCTCCAGCGTCCTTGGGGAAGTCAGGCACCTGCCAGCTCTGCACCTGCCACTTCTGGTGACAGAGGCAGGCTTGTTCCATGCAGACCTGAGTAGGGTGTCTGGAGAAATAAGAACAGAGCTGTGCCTCAGTGAGCAGTGAGGCCTCTGGTTCTGGGGTTCCCAGGACTGGGCCCATTCTCCCTTCTGCTGCTGCTAGCGTGTAACACCAAGCCTCAATTCCCTCTGGCATCAGTCAGGGACAGAGTGCCATCTGTGTCTGTGCCCCTGTGGTACTCAGGGGTACACTGGAGCTGAGCTGGGTGACCCACCCAGCGGAAGGCTACCATAAAGGGTGAAGCGGGCTGGACCTCATGACCAAACTGGGGTTGCAGGGTGACAGCTGTGTGTTCCCTCTGCTGTCCTTGCTTAAACCAGCCTGGGCCTTGCGCATGGGAAGATGAGATTTCAGGGCCACCAGCCTGAGTCCAGCTCTCCCTTTGCCCTCTGATCTTCTTTGGGTCTTGTAGCTTTCAGAACAAATGTCCAAAGAACCCAGAGCGCAGATGGGCTCAGTCAGGCGGCCCCTGGTCCTCTGTGGAATTGCACTGGGATTAGGCCTTTGTCCCACTGCAGGGGTGGTGCTGGGCCTCCCTGTGGCCAGACACTGCTGGCGGCCTCTTGATGATGGGGAGTTAGAACTTGCTTAGAAACAAAACTTCACTGTGGTGGCCCCCACATATTTACTTGGGCTGGTGCTTTAAGCTCTTCTGTGATCTGTTGGTGGAGGGGTGCGTGACCAGCCTTCTGTTTCCCAGGCTGTCCTGCTGGAGCCCAAAAGGGGAGGGAGTGGGATTTTATTTTATTTTATTTTTATTTTTTTCAGTTTTTTGGCTGGGGCTGGGTTACCTACACTTGGGGACAAGTGTCTGGGTGTGCAATGGCTGTGGGGTCTGTGGGGGCATCAGCAGGCAGTGGGGCGTCAACATGATCCCGGGGGCCTTGCTGTGTCCCTAGCACCAGCACCCACAGATGACGCCACACTTGGGGGACACTGCGTGAGGGGGAAGCTCTCTGAGGGGGCTTGTTCCTCTGGTTCTCAGCCTGCCTTTTCCTGTTTTCAGGTTGCAGGGGGTGAGAGGGCTCTGAATGGCCAGAGTTTCCTTCCCCAACTCGACCTCCACCTTGATTCTCAGGCCAGCCTGGTGGCTATTTTCTAAGGGGCCATGGAATGGGCCAGGGGCCTGGGGGTGGCAGGGTCCCCAGGGTTTCCTGTGGTGGTTCTGAACTGTTCTTAATGGGCAGCACAGCTTAGGGGCAGCTCCAGGACCTGGGCTTCAGGGTCAGTTACAGCTTGTTTGAGTCCCCAGGCCTCTCTGAGGGTCAGTTACAGCTTGTCTGAGTCCCCAGGCCTCTCTGAGGGTCAGTTACAGCTTGTCTGAGTCCCCAGGCCT